AGTTCTACAAGCTACTGATAACATCCCAATAGATTAGATAATTCAAAAGTCGCCAAGGACTTTTGAGCAATCGGCTGAACCACGTTCTTCTCAGAAAGATAATGGAACGGCACGAAGAAGATCTATTAGAACAAAGAAATCAGCAATTCTTAGTGATTATATTGTATATCTAAAAGAATTTGACTACAAAATTGGAGCCATAAATGATCCTGAGCCTTTTTCACAAGCCATGAGTTACAAAAAATAAGAATTATGGTACAATCCCATGAACGAAGAGATGAATTCTATAAAGAGTAACGAAGTATGGAGTTTTGTTGAGTTGCTTGATGTTGTAAGAGCCATTGGATGCAAATGGGTCTTTAAGACAAAGAAAGAGTCATTGGGCAACGTTGAGAGATACAAGGCGAGACTAGCTAAGGGATTCACTCAAAAGAAGAAATTGATTACACGGAGACTTTCACTCCTATATCTAAGAAAGATTCCTTGTACATCATTTTGGCATTAGTAGCCCTTTTTTGACTTAGAATTGCAACAAATGGATGTGAAAATGGCATTTCTCAATGGAGATCTAGAGGAGAAGGTTTACATGAAAAACCTGAAGGATTTTCCTCTAATGATGGTGAGCATTTGGTCTGCAAGCTCCCCCGTCAATGGTATTTCAGATTTTATGATGTAATTTCTTCATTCGAATTTGTAAAAAATATCATAGACCAAAGTATATACCAGAAGGTTAGTGGGAGTAAGATCTATTTTGTTATTTTATATATGGATGACATTCTACTGGCAACTAATGATAAGGATTTGCTACATGAAGTGAAACAAATTCTCTCTAAAATTTTTGACATGAAAGATATGGGAGAGACATCTTATGTTATTGGCATTAAGATTCATAGAGACATTTAAAGGCATTTTAGGTTTATCTCAAGAAACCTATATTAATAAAGTTTTAAAGAGATTTTGGATGAAAGATTGTTCACCAAGTACATCTCCCATTGTTAAGGGTGATAAATTCAATTTGATTCAATACTCGAAAAATGATTTTGAAAGGGAACAAATGAAGAACATTACATATACTTCTGCTGTTGAAATGCTAATGTATGCTCAAATCTACACAAGACTTGACATTGCATTTGTTATAAAAATGTTGGGGCGATATCAGAGTGATCTAGATATGGACCATTGGAGAGCTGCAAAGAAAGTAATAAGGTACCTTCAAAAAGCAAAATATTACAAGCTTATGTATAGACGAACGTACAATTTGGAAGTAATTGACTACTCAGATTCAGACTTAGCTGGCTATATTGATTCTCGCAAATCAACATCAGGATATATCTTTATGATAGCCGATGGAGCTGTCTTGGAAGAGTGCTAAACAGACATTGACTGCTACTTTCACTATGGAAGCTGAGTTCATTTCTTGTTTCGATTCTATTTCACATAGTGTATTATTAAAGAGTTTAATATCTGGGCTTAGAATCATGAATTCTATTTCTAGGCTGTTGAGAATATATTGCGACAATTCATTTGTTGTCTTTATGACTAAGAACAACAAAAGTGAAAGTCGAAATAAGTACATCGACATCAAGTATTTTTCCATAAAGGAACATATTAAGGAAAAGAAAGTGGTTATTGAGCACATTAGCACTGATTTGATGATAGCTGATCCTTTGACTAAAGGCTTGCTACCATTGAAATTTAAGGATTATGTAGTGTTAATGGGACTTTGTTCCATTCCGTAATTTTTCATTGTATGAAAAATGTTATCTTAATGAAATTTTTGTTTATTGTGATGTTTTTTCATATTAGTATAAAACCAAGAATAAACATAAGGTTTATTCATTAAGTAAAAGTTGCCACATAAAGAATAAAATTTCAGAAATTAGATATATTGTAATACGTGTAAAATAACCATTATTAGAGAACTTATCATCATGATTCATGTATTTGTTTCTTAAGGAATATATTGAATGCAATTAAATTAAAAGATTAGGTTAAACGTTTGGACCAAGTGGAAGAACGTTGGAATTTCTAGTTAAGAGAATCCCAAATCCTCCGAGAACAAATTTGGAAACTCCAAGATTGATGGTTCGCGTTGAACCAATCTCGCCTTCCTTTTTCTCTGTAGCAATTTATGTCCATTTCTTGTCCTGATTTTCTGGCGACAGTAAAGGCCTAGCCATTGGAGTTTGATGGAAACTCGGCTATAAATCTTGTTTAGGTCCCTAAGCTCTATATTTATCTTCTTCATAAAGACACCATCAAATTGTGAGTATTTAGAGTTTAGAAGTACCAAAATATCGTGAGAAATTGAGAGTGACAGTGCCTTTATCAATGACCGGAAGTATGCTTCCGACTTGTGTATTTTATTCCGCATTGATCTGATTGTTGGTTGTAGTTATATGTAAGCATGATTAGATCGTATTTAATTTTACACTTCAATAATCATTTTATGGTCCGAATCAACTATTAGATATTTACACTTTGGTCCTCGAAATTTGAATTTCTGGGAATTTGCCTTGATTTTACCTAATAAACAAAATTAACATCTAATTAAGTCATAAGTCATCAAAATTTATTACAATTAATCTCATTTAACGGCCTAGATAAGTGTGTTGTGTAAATACCAGCTATCCTACAAGGTGTATTATTTTTCATTACCACAACACCTTTCAAAACTATTTCATATGTTGAAAATAAATTTTGATTGTGACACATGAAAAGTACAAGCTGTATCAAGAATTCAATCATCGTCAAGATTGGAGTCGTAGTTAGAAATAAGTAAAGGTTCTCCGTCAATGTGACAATTTTATTCAATTCTGGCTTCCCATGAAGTTTTTGATTGCTTATTTGCTGCTAATTTTTCTTTATTCTGTAACTTATAACAATCATTTATCAAGTGCCCATTCTTCTTGCAATAATTACAAAATTTGAAGTTAGACCTTAATTTGCTCCTTGCATAATCACCATCAATAACAAGGCCATTTTCATGAACCTCAGATCCAAGAAGATGCTTCATCTTCTCCTTCGAATATAGAGTATCATAGACTTGTTCAATGGTCAGAGTATCACGACTATATAAGATTGTAGCTCTAAAATACATAAATGAAGCTGGCAACAAACACAACAAAATTAAACTCAAATCCCCTTCATCATATTTAACCCACAAGATTTCCAAATCGACGATGATTTCCTTAAAATAATTAGGTAATCTTCAAGTGATGTACCTTCTGTCATACGATGAGAATATAAGCGCTTCTTCATATGTAATTTGCTAGTTAGACTCTTCATCATACATAATTGCTCTATTCAAAATGCCTTGAAGAATATTATTTGAAGGATGAAGATGAATTTGAGATAAGGCATCCAAGTTGTGAGTATCTTGTTAAAACCCAACAGAGCGTCATCTAAATACATCTAAGCCAGTACTGCTCATATCTTTAATTGCTATAACAAAATCTTATGTTGTGATCCAAAAGCAAATTATCATACTTCATGGTTGTTCTAAAAAAATATCAAGCTGACCTCTTAACTTTATCAAAACCTTGTTTTCCCAAAAATTTTCAAGTCTTTGATTTTGGTCCTAGTTTGTTGAAAACGAATATGATATCAGATTACCATGACACAAATTTGTTCAAGAAAATACGAGATTATATGCACAATATGCAGTAATTGATCACAAAAACACAAGGACAAAATAATATGTAGAGTAAAGGAAATTTTACTAAAATATGAAAAAGGGTAATTGGCACAAAACGTCCATACCTTTCATATCTATTGTGAAAAACGTCCATACCTTTCATTTTTTAACATTTTTGTCCCTATTTCCACCTTTCTTGGCGCTGAACGTCATTTCACCAATTTTTGACAATTTTACCCTCCATTCAAATAAAATAAAAAGAAAAGAAAGAAAACAACAAATAACTAATTGCAGCCACAATCCCCAATTTTTAAAAAATTACAAATCAATTGTAAGTATATACAAAATTTTCAACATAGGTACCAACAACCATGGAACCCAATTTTCGGCACCAAGGCCACCAAATTTTAACACCACAACCATCTTCTCATCAACCCTAACATCCCCATGCAAATTCCAACAAAATCGAGCCAAATTTTGCCTAAAAATTGCCTCTCACGCATGGTATTATTGCAAATTCGATCAAATCCATGGATGCCCATGTTCCATACAACTCATAGGTTGCTCAAGCTCACCAAGACGCATCTATACATGTTCCAAAAATAGTCGATTTTGACACCAAAGGTTTGATTGTAAGGTTATGCAGATGTTGGCAGCTCTGTAAAATTCATATGCAAGGATGGTTCCGCAGTATTATTGACAATAGAAGTAAAATTTTCGTGATTAATCAAGAAATCAGCAGGTGGAAGTGAAAATTCGGGCGAATTTGACCAAAAATAGCCAGTTCAGGCACCGGAGATTCAATTGTGTTATATGGCGGCTCGTGAAAATCAGTAAGATTCGTCCCATGTGTGCCGCCCAATTCCATTGATAACTGGAGTAAATCGGAGGTTCAGACAGTGCCGCAGATGGAGAATCTTGACTCTATCCAAAACCCGTTTTCAAACAGTTCAACATTCCTCCCAATCCATGAACCGCATTATCGCGGCTGTAAAACAGCCCCGGCAAAACCACTTCCATGCTGTCCAAATTAGTCACATCATTATCTGAAATTAGTCTACCAGACCGGGGGCTTACTTTGATCACGTGGTACATCGAATTTTTTTTTTTTATATACTTGTGACTGATTTGTAAATTTTTAAAAATTGAGGACAGTGGTTGCAATTAGTTATTTGTTGTACCATTTCATTTCTTTTTGTTTTATTTGAATGGAGGGTAAAATTGTCTAAAATTGATGAAAATGACGTTCAACGCCAAGTAGGGGTGTAAACGAGCTTACCGAGCCGAGCCGGCTCGTGTTTTGATGTCTTTTTTTTTTTTTAATTTTTTTTCCTCCTAATTGCTGCCCAACAGGTAGCTTTAATTATAAAGCTGCCTGTTGGCAGCTAGATTGCTGACGAACTGGCAGCAAATCTGCTGCCAACAGGCAGTAATAAAGCTGCCAGCAGCCTATTTTTTTTATTTTTTATTTTTTGTTTTAAATTAAACGGGCCGGCCGGGCTCGGGCCATGTACCTTTTTGGGGCTCGGATCGAGCTTTGGCTCGGTTGGTCCGAGCCACGAGCCGAGCAACGGGCCGCCCGAGCCATCGAGCTTTTTTGACATCCCTAACGCCAAGAAAGGTGAAAATAAGAGCAAAAATGTCAAAAAATAAAAGGTAGGGATGTTTTTCATAATAGAAATGAAATGTAGAGACGTTTTGTGCCAATTATCCAAAAAAATACAAAAAATTTGAATTTACAATTTTGTCTAACTTAATCTATAATTCAATGAAAAGTTAAATATATAGAAGGAGAGCACCCAAGACCCTAAACGTACAGTTATAGATGGAAATAAATGCTCAAAACGCAAAAACAAGCTTGGACCACATGAGCTGCCGCTCGAGCGCAAGAGGGAGCCAAGCAGGTGGTGTTGGCGCTCCTTGAGTGCCAAGTTGGCGCCCAGCAAGTGTCAGCTCTCTACATAGAATTTCGACGACGTTGCTCAAGAGGTAGGCTAGGAGTCAGCTAGCAGAAAGGAGCTGAAAATTTTTCTCTAATCCATATCTTGACCTTTTCAAATCCTACACAAATTTCAATTCTAAATTGAGTCTCCAAATAAAATTTCAACTAGAATTTGCCAAATAGATTTCAAATAGAATTCCAAATAACATGTCAAATTGAATTCGGACCACACTCTAATTCTAACAGCTGACTATGAATAGCATTATTCATAACTTGTCCTTAAGAAGGTGGCAATTGCGATGTGTCTACATTTTGTTTACACGTGTGTGTGTGTGTCTCTCTCTCTCTCTCTCTCTCTCTCTCTCTCTCTCTTTATATATATATATATATAAAACATAATTTTTTGATGCACTTCCCCTGATATATATATTAATTTCTCAAACGTTTATATATAAAACATAATTTTTTTGATGTACTTCCCCTGATATTTTGTTTACTTTCTAGAAAAGATAAATCGATGGCAAAATACGCACGAGCTTTATTAAAAGGTTACTGTACGGATTGCTGCTGTAAGTTATGTGTCCACCACTAAAGTATATTTCACTTTCCACGCACATCAATTTTCTTCTACTGTTTTTATTTCAATGCATTTGAGTGCTATACCTCCACGGCATATTTGATACTTCAAATGACATAATTTAACACGATTAAGAAAGAAAAAAAGGTGTGTAAAAATTTGGAAATCACCAAGAGCTTTGGAGCTTGTGTCAATTTGAACATTTATAATGTTATTCATTTAGAGTGCTCGTAATCGTCAATCTATGTGGTAATAGAACTACTATTATATTGTCCAATAAAATTTCGCTGTTGGGTGCGAACAAAATATAGAGCATATGGCTGGCAAGATAACAAATTTGTAGCTGTAGTGATTCAAGCCGTATTATTTACAAGAATTTGATTAATTTGCTTTATTCTTTCAATCTTGATTTAGGTCTTGTTTGTACTCCAATAAATTACAAATTATCTACTTCAATTGGAAGTAATTATACACGTTTGTGTATTTTTTTCTTATTTGTGTTGAGTTAAAATTTTCTTATCTTAATGTAGCGGTTTAATATGGTTTGAAAGTGAAAATCTTAATGTATGTTAAGTAAGGTGTTTACAAACACGAGTGTTTATGAATAAGGATAAATGAGCGGTGGAGAAGTAAATAGTAATCATAAAAATTACGAAATGTGTGAATAAAAAGTGATTTGATCAAAAATATTTTTTGACCAACATATTTATGAACACTAGAATCAATGAACCAAAAGCAGGCTTATTGTTAATCATGGTAAAAAATTCCCAAGAAAGGCACTTTAACGAAAGCATCAATTTGGTCAGATTAGTTGTTAATCATAAAATATAAATAAAAGAGTTTCTTTAATTAATTTCTAATATTTAATGCTTTAGATGGAAGAATTCAACAAGCTAGACTTATTCAAAATATTTAATTCATGTTATTAAACAATAATAATTATTTTAAACAGATATAAACGGAAACATGTTCATATATACGTTGGATATTATGTGCATAAAAGTATTAAGATTCTAATAAGATAACATTTCGAATATTATTATATAAATAATATATAGTGTTTTATTTAATTTTTTTATGAAAAAGAGTCGCAATATATTTTGATCATGTGTATAAAGTGGCTTCGCTTGATGAATGAAATACCAAATATAGTGGTCAATAGAAAAGACACTATTTTGTATATGGATCGAGAAATTAATATCGATGACTATAGAATAAGACGTTGACACTTGTTCTGTTAAGGTTATAATAATTGTTACTCTATCAATTGTGATTGGGCTATGCGGATATTTATTTATTTATTTATTTTTTTCTGTGGTAGGATGATCTCGAGAGTAATGAAACTTGGTATATTCAAAACTACACTGGACAAGACTAGTTTGTATATGAGTCTAATTCTAATGCATGACTGTCCTAGAGAGAATAAAAGCCCACTTTGATTGCTTTATGATTTAACTTGATTTATTATGGATTAGTGGTTACTATTCGTGAACCATATGGTTTTTGATGTGCCAATGAGTGAGATTTCTAAATAAATACCTTAGTACATTTGCAAATGAAAGTAAGCGAACTAGTAGAGCACTAGACACTTTAGGAATCTATTGTCGGTTCAAAAGATAAATGAGCTCAGTATTTCGTGATTGTCAAATTATCTTTTCGATATCATTGCAAAGAGATTGTTGAAGAAAAGGTTAGTCTAACTGAGAAAATAATTAGTAAGGGTAAAACGATCAATTTTGTCCAACGCTAATTATTTGATGTCCGAGAAGGTAATGAATTAAGATAGCAAGTAAAGAGTAGGAGGCAAATTTAAGAAATTTTACAAACTGAAAATTAATCGTTAAGTTGGAGATTCAAGAACTTCATACAAATAAGAGGAAATCAATCACTTGGTTGGTATTCAGCTTTAAATGCTAACATGATTAATTATTTATATCTACAACATATAATTATCTAGAAAAGATCCTCGTCCCAACTAAAAGTTTTTTTTTTTTTTTTTTTTTTTT